CAGTGGTCGTCTGTGTTCACCCCCCCCAGAGTAAATGATCGGCAGCACTGACCCGACCGCGCCGATCCGATAATAGTGTGACAGGGATCGCCAGATCCCGGGAAAGGGTCGTGCTCCCGCCGCCGCTCCCTCAGGAGCAGCTCCCGGAGCCTCGGGATGTGTCACGCTTTTATTACTTTCTATTATTGACACTTAAAGAAAGAGCCCATTCTTTTGGCTGCGAAACGGCTGTGGCAGCAGAAACCGGCGATGGAAATGCTTTTGTGTAAAAAATGTGCATGGTCTGAAAGGAAAGCCAATTTTCTGGCGTTTCAAGGAATGCTGTAGTCAATTGTACTTGAGGAAAAGTGCAAATATATTCCTGATTTTATAGTAGAGATTATAAATGTAAGAGAAAAGTGACATGAGCACAAGGAGTGAAACCAAGCTGAATGGATAAGGCAATTGGAGTATTAGAGGTCGTGTAGAAAGTGAGAACTGCTGTTGTAGGGGCTTGTTCCTGTCACATTTAGTGTTTGTTGAGCAGCCGTCCCGTTCTCATCTGAACCTGCCTTCCATCAAGCACAGGAACAGATGTGTGTGGATCTGATTCCTCACAGAGTCTCCCCCTTACACCAGGGTGTTACTTTGTCCTCCGTAGTTGCCATGCATTGCAGTTCTGCTTGTTTCCTGTGAGGTCCAAAATATCCTGCTTTTCAGAAAGCTTTCATAAATTATCTCTTTCCTAAGCTGCCCACTGTTCTTGAATTCAGCATATCCCATGATTCTCCATGCGTACACCCTTCAGGGGCTTTGAGATCTTCTAACTCATGATTTAAGCCAGCAGCCAACTTTTATTTCTGTTCATCTGAGTGACTTACAGTTTATTAGCATTGTTATGGTAATGGGAGCTCCAAAATTAATTTCTGAACGAGTCACATCAGACCTGTGCTATGATTTGTCACTTTCCATCTCAGTGAAATATTTCTCCATATGGATCAAACCACACGTTCTGCAAACACAGTTGATTGGAATCAGGTGAACTACCCAGACGCTTCAAGAAATGTCTATGTTTTGGTGGCATAAAGTCTCAAAGCTCCAGTGATTCTTTTTTTTTTTTTTTTTGATCTTGTATCTTTGTTCATTTTGGTCAGATTTTAGTGCTCATTTTCAGTGTATGGTTTCATGCAGTGATACAAGGGTAATTGTTCCACTTTTTTCCTCCCTCCCCTCTTTTAGTTGGCTGGATTTCTTCAGACTGTAACTTGGAGTTTCTTCATTAAAATCGCCTGGGCAGAATCACTCTGCTATATGCAGTTTCAGGTGGTATGATAAGGCATGTGAGACCAGTGGTATGTCAGGTGTGCTGGAAAATGTGTCTAGCCAGATCCAACTGAGAGGAATCTTTCTGTCTTCCTCAGCCTGTCCTGCCTTCTTATCCCTGCTTCAGGCAGAGGGGGCAATGTTCTCAAGCCTGCCCGGATCACCACCCCCGCACTTCCTTAAGTCATTTCTCTCAAAATGACCTGGCTTATTTTAAGCAGTTTAAGGTGTGATTCCATGTCGGTTTCAGATGATCTAAATCCCGAGTTCTCCCACCCACTCCTCCCATTTCCAGCTCCATGTTCCCATCTCTTTTCCTGTGCAGGCACTGCTGCAGCTCACGTTGCCAACAAGGCTGGTTGCAGCTGTACAGGTGACTGAGGGAGTCAACTTCAGGACTGAGCTGTGTTGTGAGGCAGTGACAGAGGTAATGCTGTCTCTTCTGTTTGCCCTGTTTCTTTCAGGAACTTCAGAAGACTTACTGTTTGCTTTTTTTTTTCAGTGTTGCAATTTGTACCAATTATACTGACTCCATCGTTTGTTCCTGTAAGAAATTATCCTGTCGCTTACCCATTGAACTAGCAATACACTGAACTAGCTGTATTTATCAAATTGATAAAGAGATATATGATGCTTAAAACAATAATATAATAGCCTTTGAGTATTCCACAAACCCGTGACAATGCAGATGTCAATGCAGTCTAATTTTAGACATGACACAGTGAGTCTTCTGTTTGTTAGCTTTTGTTCGTTGCCTTATATCCAGCTTGATGATAACCCCTGGTTTATTTTGGATGGGGTTTTTTTTTCAGCTGCTATAGTTGTAGAATCCTTGGTATTCCATTTTAGATGTAAGGCAAGTCTTCAGGGGATATATTCATTGACCATAAGACATTTGGGGTCCTCAGCCAAGACTTTGCTTTTTAAATTATTTCCAGCATGACTTCAGACACAGAAGAGAACTGCCTGGAGCTGGGGAGAGAGGTAAGAAGGAAGCTTATATCAAATAAGCTTATATCATTAAATTTTTGGGGATTTGATGGTATGGTTTATGTCAAATTTTGAGGTTTAGTTTGTTTGTTTTTAATTAATTAGACTACAGTTGGTTTGTCTGGAAAACTGGGTCTTAAACAAAAATTAAGAAGGCCAACATCCTGGCATTTGGCACTTCATGCATGTTATTGCCAAATCTGAAGCTCATGAAAGAATACTATTGTTTTCACTGTTAGCCAAAATGATTGGTAAACCAAAAGGCCTTTATAACATGAACTAGTCATTAATTCCAATGGAAAATTTGCTTACTAAATTTTAACAGCTTTTTTTGTTTCTTCACACAGTATTTAGTAAAGAAAGGGTTTGCTCCTGCCTCCCTTTCAGCCATCTCAGCAACTTAAAGAGGAGGGCAACATACTTTAAGAGTGCATGCTGTGTCTTTGCAGTCCACCACTGACGTAGGTGGATGTGTGAGTAAGACTCATTTTGTTGTTAATTTATCTTCTTGATGCTCAATATCAGACTCCATTTGCATTGACTAAATAACTGTGGAGTCGTTATGAAGGCTATACGAACTACATTACTACCCTTGGAAGTGATTACTGCTGAATTTTTGCCTCTTAAGCCTCCAAACAGGATATTGCATTATTATATGCAATTCTCTTCCCTGATGTAGTCTGAGTATTGGCCAAACCATCAGTGTACCACTGTGATTCATGCAGAACACTGATCTCTATGGAGCCGAAGTAAGTATACATAAGACTGTAAATGATTTTCATTGCTATGCCCCCCCTTTTTTTTTAACATGGAGCTCTCACTCTTGATGAAATACTATTAGATGCAATGTAGCAGCCAGATTGCCAGATGCTACTAAATCATCAGATCATGGCTGGTGTCCTTACTCGCCTGTCTTTTCTGTGTAGAGATTACAGGTTTGCCTGTTGGAGACTCGTGGACATTGGAATTCTTTTAAACATGATTGGTTTCCAACAGACACATATGGCTCTCAGACACATGGATATCAGTCCATATGTGTGATAGGTAGAACTACAGAACGAGTGTCGCGGATGTTCATCCCTGAAGTTGAATTTTCAGAGCTGGAGGAATAGTTCGAAGCTGAAGTTGGTCTTCCAACCTGGTTATGAGAATTACAGAGTATAAACCATGCCTTACATGCGTCATTTGCTTTGGAAAATAAAAACCTGTTTTGAAAGTATTCGAATATGCAGAAATGAGGAGTGTGGTACATGCCAGTCAGTGAGGGCTTCCTCTTAGTTGCCGTGTTTATTGGCCTGAGCCTGGTGCAAGGCACAGCAGCCATTTGAATAAGACACGCACAAGCCAGCTGGTAGCATTGGGTGTGTTGGGCTAGTGAGCAGCAGATTTCTTTCTTACTTAGATCATGTTCTTATCTTTTGCTTGTCCATGTTTATATTGGAGTAGCGCTCAGAGGCCCCAGAACTGAAGAAAATAACCACACTGCAGACATTTATGAAGTTGTTATGACTGCTAACGCTTCTTCCTGCTCCACTGCTACAAACTCTGCCATAGTGCAGCAAAGAACTGAATGGCTTCCGAAAAAAGTGTGTGAGGAAACGTGAGGAAGTGGCTGGAAGGAATGGAGAGAGGAAAAGAGAGGAGGCTGGGATTTCTGAGAATGCATCAGTACTTTAAGGAGTTGTTGAATACAGCATCTCACATATATCTTGTTCATCCTGCTGCCACTGCCATTTCTGAAGTGGCTGATGCTGCAGGTTAAGCTCTGTGTGCTTGCTGGATCCATCCCCTCAGATGAAGGAGTATTTGGTCAGGCTTGTGTGGAGCTACTCAATTTTGCCCAGGATGAAGAAATCTTTTTAATATGCCAGAGCATGGTATAGGACTCTGGATAGGCCACCTGTGAAGTCAGAACACATTCAGAGGAAGACAGTATGTAGATTTTCCGGTGCACAGTCTGATCATCCTAAATCCACTGAAGTCCTCATTTCGGCATATATTGCTCTTTTGTTGTTACTCTTAGACATGCCCAACTGATGATCCTGTAAGGCCTCTTGATCTATGTGTGGAGACTGATCTAACATATCAGGATGTACTGGCTTTTGCACCAAAGAGAGAATCCAGTTTCCAACTTCAGACTTTTCCAGATTGACACATTGCATTGTGTAGCCAGGAAAGAAGATACAGACTTCCAAAAGTGTCTTAATTTTCAGCACATAGAAACTTTTCATGAAAACTTGGAAACTGCTCTGAATCTGAGACGGCAACATGAAACCAGAACGTTTCATGTTATAATCAAACCATAAATCTCCCAAACTTCCACATTGATTCTGCAGTATAACACTAAGCTTTCATTTCAAATCCTTCTGGAAGACTAGTATAACTTCCTGTGTTATTTTAGAGAAAATATATTGCATGATCTGACTAGTTTTTACCACTATTATAAAGAGGTGACACAATCTGTAAGGCTTTCCTTTACTGTAACTTTCTTTTTCAGCTGAATTGTTTTAAGAAGAAGAAACCGGGACGGCCAAGGCCTGTAAACCATTTATTGCCCAGTTTTAAAGGCTCAAGAAGAATTTAAATGATGTGTAGGTTTTGTGCTGGCTGTGTCCACTTGTAACAATTTTATCCCTGTGAATTCTTGTTCGAGCTGTCTAGACCCCCTCTGTTGCCATGGCTTTGTGAAGCCTATCTTTGCAGTGCAACCTTTGGCCTTCCTTAAAGCTGCTGAACAGCAATCACAGCAAACATTTTTGCCAGGGGGACATGTGTATCATTTACCTGGGACGTCTATGTTTTGAATCCCTAGGTTTTGAAGGATTTTGAAGAACTAAAGTGCATAGAAAATGAGTGTGATAGAGCTCAGCATGAGGTCTTAGGGAAGCGGAATGTGATTTTATAAACAAAATCTCTGCAAAATACTGTTTCTCTTTATGCTTTCACACCCACATACTTGGAAGCATCAAAATGTGTGTGTTCAAATGGCCTGGTCAACATCACATGTGTGATCACACAGAGGATAAGGATATTGTCTGTTGTGTCCTCATTGTGCCTCTGGGCTTCTTGATTGGCAAGTAAACTGATTTTGGAATTGCTTTTTATACTCTCTAGGAGGGGATAGTATAAAGAATACTTTGTCTCACTGTTTTGTTTCACTCTTCAGAAATCCATGAATGTCATGAATGTTTGTTGCCTTTGTGTATTTTGTGGCCCTGCATTTGTTCTTTGTCTTGTTTGATACCTTATCTTTAGGTCACTTTGCTCTTTCTCTTTGTTCAGATACCTTTTTAACACATGTTTTACTGCTTCGTGGGGCACTTTCACATACACACACAGACACACTTCCACTCAGACTCTGTTAATGCCAGTCTTAATATTTGTTTCAAAATGCTGCAAAGGAACCAAGTAGCTCCTCGTTTTTCCCAAAACACTTTGTTCTTCAAGAGCAAGCCTCACTTTTTATTTCGTCTTTACAGGAAGATATCAAATACACTTAGAAACCTATCCCAGTAAGAAGACCCCATTTACTCTCTGACTTTAGGATTCTGCCCTAATCTAGAGGGTCATTAGTGGAACAGAGCCAAAAGGACATTCAATTATTTGCTCAAGTCTGAAAGGCCAGTGTTTCACAACTGCAGAGTGTGCTATTAACAAGGATGAATCCTTTGGCAATGAATCCTTTCTACTGCAAAATACTTGCCGTGTGGAACCTAAGACCCTTATTACAAATTCATGAATGATTTTAATGCATCCTGGCAGCTTTCATAAGCATTGCAGTCATCTGGAAGCAAGTAAAAAAAAAATAAAAAAAATCATTGGTTTGTACAAAATAATATAGCTATGCTCATATTTGATCTAGCTCTCTAGTGGGAAAGGAATACATGAAGTTTTTTTAAAAATTAAGAGACATTTCTACTACATTACATCTCACCAGTGGATTTAGAAATCATGTTCACATAAGAGATAATAACTCAATGTAGATCATCAATAAAAGAAAAAAGATGTCTAAAATGAGCACAGTCCTTGGTGTGTTGGAGGAGTTGTAAAATCATGTTGTAAAGCTAAACTACCCATTGTCAGAAAGTAACACTCTAATATAGGAAAATCTGGCTATCAAGAAGTCTTTTCATTTCTTCATTGTATTTTAAAAAATTTTCCGCAAATTGTGAGTTTCCCTTTGAGTACTCCTAGCTTGGAGGCACTGTTTGTTGCAAAGACAAAGCTGTCAAGAAAGGAAAGCAGATCTGAGAGTGAGCGGCTTTTATTTCCTTGGGGCACTATGATGCAAAATGATAGCAACAGTCAACAAGTAACATTTTATGTGGTAGAGGCTTGAAGAAGTATCCAATAGCTGATTTCCACTACAGTTTTCTTAATATTATTTTTCCCAGTAAGCAACTGTTATGGAAACAAAAGAGATATTGTGCGATCACAAGTCAGAGAGGAAGCTTTGAAAAGGATGCATTGAAATGAGGAGTGTTCTAGAGCTGCTATGTATAACACAGTGATATAAGGTCAAAACTAAAGATTCAGACTTCCAAAATTCCATCTCTTATTCCTATAGAGTCAAACACAGCTGTGGTTTGCATAAGGCTCCTAAATGCTTTGAAATCTCTTCCTTCTGTAACGAGAACAGGTTTGTTCCACTTGCTCAGATTTGCCTAATAAATTCACATAAAGAAAGCTTACAATTAATCCCTCTAACCAGTCTGCCATGAAGAATTTACAGTTTAACAGTTTGCTTTGCCACTGATAAATAATATCAATAATCATCATCATCATCAGAATTAGGCATCCTCCCTCTCTGTTCCGTCATGTGTAATTTGCATTCAGGGATACCAAAAAACAGTGTAGTGAAATCACCCCCAGGCAGCTAAACAGTCTGAAGAAATTAAGCTTGTGCATAAACTACATGTCAATTAAGAAAAAATCCTCAAAAAAGAGACCCATGCCTGAAACAGAGCAACAAACCAGGAAATATTTAGGTTGGTTTATATTTATTTACAAATGTTGGTAGCAGATGGTTACCAACATTTCAGCAGTGTGGCTGTTTAAGCAACTTAAAAGCTGTAACAAACAGCCCAATTTATGTACCAACTCGCCTGCTTTAGCCCACTCTTACTCGTGTTACCCAGAACTACTTCCATTACAATTCATCACACAGCTAAGCAGCTAAAAAAGGAAATAGATGCAAGTGCAAAACCAGAAAAGCAGCGTGGTTGTCCAAAGCTAGAGATCAGTGGTTTCTCCATCAAGGATGCCTGCTTTGAGTGATGTGCACAAACAATCGTTTTCAGAAGATTTCTCACTCTCCTAAGTACAGAGTGTACCTTGTTTATTAAGCCTTGTAGAAACTACAGATGCAGATGCTACCTTAGCTGCTGGTTAGGCGTAATTTACCTCGGTACTTTCTTTTTAAGAGAATGTATTTAGCAGATGAATTATAGTCTGATCTTTTCCCACATTACCCTCCTTTTCATACAACAGCCAAGGTGGCTAGGATGAGGTGATAGCTGACAGATGAAGGTGGCTAGTCAAATGGACGTCTATAATACATATTGGTTTAAAAATACTGTCTAAAGAAAGTAAACACAAGTGGGAATCTAAGCTGAATTTCCCCCAAAGAAGGCCTCACACCTAAGAATATTGCATCTGGAATTATCATACAGGATATACAGTTTTTGTGCATCCTCCATTGAACAGACTTGGGCTACTCTTTCTCAGATACCTAATTCACTCACAAATTCAAGAATAAAGATTATGTTTTCATAGGCAGCTGGACAGAACTGCTTGTGATACCAAAGTATAGGCAGAAGCAAACATCAATTTTATCACCATAAGAAGGATGGACAATATAATGAGCAAACAGTGATTTACAAATGGAAATAGGAATGCTTGCTTTGTAAATATTGTGAACTTGACTTTCCCATTCCTGCTCTAGCAAGAGGTGAGGATCAGAGTAGTCACTGGTTAAGAAGAATGTCATTGCAGATGGCCCAGAGAAGAGTGTACCACCATCATTTCATTGTCTGACTTGGCCTCAGGGCCTGGCTGGTGTCAAAAACCTCTACTCAGCAAGAGCTCAAAGTGTGAGTGTGCACATCAGTGTCTGAGAAAGTGTAACTGACTGTATATTTGCAAATTGGAAAGCTGCTGACTCTACTCACTTGTTCCTTCCTGGGAAAATTCTATCAACAGTGACAATATGCAACATCGTACGAACCAGATGGAGTCTGAACTGGAAATGGGTGTAGTTTATGCGGAATTAATTGAGTACATTAAAATTACTAAGATGCTGAGAATTTTTTTCCCCTTTCCTATCTTTAGTTTATATGTAGTAAATGCTCAAAACAACTTTTATGAGAAAAATTTTCTCAATTGGGAGTGATTTACTTTTTAAAAAAGTCTTACCATGTGACATGGCATGTTCTGCAGGAAGTTTTATTTATGGCAGGATGTGAATGTTTAGATCCGATGCTTGCAGGGTTATATGCCCACTATACACTTCTGAGGTCCTCCCTCAGAGTGGAGCAGCTCTGAGCTTACACATTAGCCCTCCATGGGAACATTTCCATGTCACAGCTTGACTGATGCTCCCATTGACTCATTGTTCCTGAACCCGTTCATG